GGATATATAATATATATAAAATATAATAAATATAATATGAACTAATAAAGTTTAATATTTTTATATAATAAAAATTTTGAAGTATAACCTCATCTTAAAAAAAAATATTTTAAATTAAAATTTAACTTTAATTTATATATTAAGGTTAATTTAACTATCATTTAAAATTAGTTATATTTTAATTATTAAATATTATTAATAAATCTAATAAATCTAACTTTGACAAGGGTGTGACGACTTAGTATAGTTGATAAGTTGTCACACCCTCAAGTGACAGGACAAGAGTTTGAATCTCACTAATAACGAAATTTGAATTTGCAGAAAATGTGTTACGATAAAACTATGACATATCAATCGAGTAAGCACCTGTAACTTTGGTCTCATCAACTTGTATTAGAAGGTTGTAGAATGTAGTGTAATGCATAAATTACATGAAATCCAAGTAAAGCAGCCAAATAAATCTAAGGGATCAGGAGATATGAAAGCTGGCTTGAGAAGTCCTGAGTAGAGAGGTAACACAGATCTTTGATGGTACTATATAAAGGATTATCATCTGAGAAACTAAACACTAGCAGTAAAACTGAACAAGGACTGAGTGTTTGGCAAGCACTACACCAACCAGGCCACCAGACCAGCTGGAGGAAAAAGGATTTATTCGAAATACCAGATGATGTCTACTGATCCCTCCCTAACCATCTGAATTGGATGTTTGGAGCACCATTAGTTGGCATCGAAATACTGTTGATAGTCTATAAAGTGGATACTGGGGTTTGGGTGAACTTTGCAAGGGCACAGAGTAGATAACAATAGCAGAAATAAAAAGCTGCAAGTACTTGACCGCAATCTAAGTGTAAATTACTAAAAACTTAAATGATATATGTGTGGAATATGGACCACTTTAGTAGGTTTATTATGAAAATAAAGTAGTCCTAAGGGGCCTTAGTAGCAGTTCCTCTTTAGAAATAATATTCAATAGCGCTAAGTTGATCAGAGGGTTTAATTAGATAACTCAAGTAATAATAGATTACAGATACAACATCTAGTATAGTACTTAGTAATAAGGAACTACTTAATTAGATGCTTAAAAGGTGCAAATATGATTAGAATGTATCCTTGTTAATATAACAAAGTCAGGGGTAGCCCATGTGATTGCCTTGATATTTGATCCAAAGTTTAATAAAATATATTAGACCCCAAAGTAATCAACTTAATATAAAAAAAAAAAAATTTAACTTTGACTAAAATTGTAAAATTTTAGCCAAAATTATATCTGATACTTTAGCTGATTCATCTATTTACTCAGAAATTAGCTAATTTCTAAAAGCTTTTTAACAGATTTCTGTTATTAAAATATATATACTCTTTATAATATTTTACTGTCACTATATTTACAAAATAAACATTCTGTTTAAATAAATAAACAATATTAACTATTTTGAAAAATTACATATTGATTTTTTGAAGAGTGAAAATTTAAATACTACTGTATTAATATAAACAGCTTATTTTTATTCAAATTATTTTTTAAAATAGATGCTTGAGTTATGCTTTTTTGTAATATAAATCTATTAAAAAGTTTATATAATAAAACTTGCTTAATTTGTTGTAATTTTACTTTACATGTTATCTAAGTTTAAGTAGTTACTAGAAAAATACTAGCTTATAAATATTTTTTTCTTGGATTGCTCTTATATCTTCCAATACTAATTTGCCTTTTATGCTTAAGTATCTTCATTTTCTATTAATCTGCTTTTGCTTTAACTATTAATAAAATGCAAGATCAAACATTAAACTGTGTAGAAGTTAATTTACCAACTCCTGTATTTTATATGACAAACTTTGTTACTTGCTCCAGAATAACATTTAGACAAGGTTTTAAATGTTTACTAATCGGTCAGCATACTCAAGAGGGTATACTCAAAACGTCTTTATTCTGAGATCTTATAATAAATCCATATTCTATATCAAATCCTCCTATATAATTACTCTAAACTACGCTATATATTACTTTAAAGGTAAGAACGTTCCCACCTGGATTTTATTTTTTATTTACTATTGTTTTTTTTATAAAAATACAAATTATAGTTTTATAATTTTCATTGTTATAATAATTGCTATGTAATTTATTATTATTATTTGAGTGTCGCTAAAAAAAACCCCGAAAATTTAAATATAAATCATATTTAAATTTTCGGGTTTTCTTTTAACGACACTCATTTGATCAACTATATATACTACCGTATTTTATTTTATTTTTTATTTAATAAAGTTTTTTTATCTTATTTTATTTCCTATAAATTAATTATTTTCGCATATTTATTTTTATTTTATTACAACGTACTTTTCCTTTTTGTATTTCTATTTTATTCTATAAATAGTTTTTTGCTTAATTCTTTTATTAAACCTCGCAAAACATTAGTTTTATAATTTGTTTGCCTAGATGAACTAATTCAGTTGTCTACGTCATTTATTTCCAAACCCAATACATCTATTCCTTATCGATTTACATAATTCCAAATAAAAAAAAATTACGATATTAATTTGTTATCAAATAAATATTTTTCTACCATATGCTTTTCCATTATTACCATGAACGATACTTATATTTGCCACTTTTAAATAAATATAAATTTTACCCGTCGGTTACGACGGGTTTTACATCTAGTAATAATAAATATTCTTTTCAATACATGTTTATTTTATAGACAATCAATTTGCGAACAAGTTCATTAATGAACAGTTTATTTTACAATCTCATTTCGTAGACAAAGTTTTTTCTTATAAATTACACTAGCCTTAAACTAACTCCAATAAAAATGACTAGAATCACTTTGTCGGTGAAATGAGCTGTTGATGAAAAAACTGTCTACAAAATAAGCTTGTCAGTAAAATAAACTGTCTAGAAAGTGAACGTATGTGTGTATTTTATTGGTCAATAATACATGATTCTAGTGAAAAATCGTTCCGGTGGGATTTCTCACTGGAACCACTGGAACACTAAAAAAAAATCTGGATGTCCAGTGGGGTTCCAACACACATAATAAAAATTAATGAATGTCTAATGAATGTAAATTGTATTTATAACAGTATTTTAAGGCTGTGACTTGAACTACGTAAGAAAATTTTTTATTAGCAGAAAATTTTTTATTAGTTATACTTGAATTTTTCTTAAAATAGTAACACTACATATTTCACAATTCTGACACATGGACTGTCAGTTGATACTATTTAACTTTTGTGATCCGACAGTTATACATCGGCAAAGAAAAACCTGTAATTAAATTTAAAATTTTATATATAAAGTATTGTCGATAAATGCCAAAATAGATAAATTAAATTTTATATTTCTGCAACAGTAATATTAGTGTTAGCATTAGATTATCTCATGGTTTAGATTTGATGCGCAGTAAAAAACCGAAAATCAACTGAAAATAGATATAAGGTGGCTTAGTCATTACGTAGACTATACATATATACACGTAATTATACATTCTTCGAGCTTCGGTTTCTCGCGTTATATTTGAGCCCACATTTCATTGTCTTCTTTAGTCTACCTTGCTATACATAAACTTTCTCGGATAACTTGGGCGTTATCATTTGGGAAAAATGTCTTTGTTACCGGACTATATACCATCATATTTACAATTTCTGATGACCAGTACTGGTCTAATTGTATTGGTTTCAGCAAGCTTGTTATATGTTTTTCAAAGTGAATTAATTTATCCTGCCAGATTCCCTGAAGGCTCAAGACATAATGTGAGTATTACCTTTATATCAACGTTACGGTTTATCGCCTTTAAAGAAAAGTTCCGCCTTTTTACTTCGATTTTTTATTATAGAAAAAATAAATAATATTGATTCTTGCAAATAATTTATTGCAGGTCCCGAAACCATCTGAGTTTGGAATGGAATATACTGAAGAAATATTATCTACCAAAGATGGCGTAAATATTAGAGCTTATATTTGTAAATTACCTCAAGATGCAAGACATAGACCTACAATTTTATTTTTTCATGTAAGTTTCATTGATATCATCCTTTTATTTATTTTATTTATTGGAATTAATGCTTTCGTTTGATTTTTAAACGTGGTTTACAATTTTATTCTCTCCAATTTTTTTTATTCTGGGTATACTGAATTGGATTTGGTTTATTCTGTAGGCCAACGCCGGAAACATGGTACATAAACTTCTTTATTTTATTTTACAATTAATTTCGTATTGTTTATTAAAAAGCTTTAAATTACTCAAGGGACATAGATTGCCAATTGCTCAAATATTTTACGTTCAATTCAAATGTAATGTGTGTTTGATTTCTTATAGAGGGTAATTCTTATTTATTTTCATGGATCAGAAATTCGGAAAATATGTATTAAATTATCATTGGAAATTTGATATAGATATGGTCTGAGTGAGGGTAGGCCCTCTGAAAAAGGTATTCGAATTGATGCACAAGTAAGTATCTATATTTATATCAAATATTTAAGTTGTATCATTATAATTTTTCTGTTTGTTAACAATTATATTAGACTTTTTTAGATCATGTATTGAAAGATGATGATTTAAAGAATACCAAACTTATAACGTATGGTCAATCACTTGGTGGTGCTATATCAATTGATTTGGTTTCGAGAAATGAAGATAAAGTACGATAATGCCTTAATTTGTTTATACTACAGTTTTTATCAACATTTGACTTATCTGACGTTTTGTTAAATTTAGTTCAGTGCTATGATTTTAGAAAATACATTTTTAAGTATTGTAAGTAAACCATTTTCGGTGAGATGATCTAGTTATAAAATCAGAAGCATTCACACAATTCAACCATTTTATTCTTTAAAAATATAGCCGAAAGTGGTACCTTATGTCATGCCTCATTTGAAATATTTAGCATTTTTATGCCACCAAATTTGGCCTTCAGAAAGCTCAATACAACAAATAGTACATACCCCAATACTATTCCTATCAGGTGCGCGTGACGAAATAGTACCGCCATCTCATATGACCGATTTATACGAATTGTCACAAACAAAGGACAAAGAATTTAAAAGGTTTGATAATGGTTTCCATAATGATACTACTATTCAGCCAGGATATTTTGAAACTATTGGGGAATTTTTAAGAAAAGAAAATTTGTTGGACGATGAAGGCAAGGAATGGGTCAGAATTTAGTACTGATATTTGTGAAAATATTCATATTTATTATCGAATAAGACAGGTTGCCTATTTAATTTGTTAATTTATGTAATAATCAAAATTTTGATTAAATAAAGATATAAAAAAAAAAATTATTTTAGAATTAAATCAACTTTATTAGTCAGATAATGTTTCGCTAGGACACTTAAAATAGTAAATAATTATTCTTTAATTAATATTGCGACTTTATTTTTTGCCTCCAGATTTTTTGATACCACCCCCATCTATAG